AAAGAAAAAATATTCTTTAAATATGGAAGAATTATTAACCTTAGTGGTAAAAATAGAACAACAACAGCAGATGTTGGAACTCCAGAAACAAAATTTAATTGAAATAATACGGAAGAAACCGGAAAATTCTCCAAGTTCTTCTACACACGATGATGGGTAAATGCCATAACTGAATTACATACAATTCAGATGATGGAGCAATAAAATTCTGGAATATATATATATATATATATATATATATATATATATATATATATATATATATATATATATTATATATTTAACCCTTATTGCGAATATGGTAAAATCGAATTTTCGTTTTGAAAGTGAACTTTTTCAATAACTATAACAAATTAATTCCTTCTCCGTTATTTTTAAACAAAAGTTCACCGATTTATGACACAGGAGCATAGTTACAAGAAAGTCATAACCTAACACACACACACACATATATATATATATATATATATATATATATTTGATTGAATATATAAAATATGATGGGGATTATTTCCCTTTATGAAATTATTGGGTCGTTGCTTTATTTACTTTTTGTCACGACACTTAAGCATGTGATGAAATTAACCACGAACTCATTTTGTTTTTAATCAGTTTCAGCGCTGGTGAATCGTTCTCATTTGTATGTAATCCTGAGTAAATTTTATCAGAAAATATTTACAGAAATGATTACTGGGATGTACGTCATATCTCCTAATGCAATTGGCCATTGAATGGTTATCTCTAGCCTACGGTAACGCTCCGGTGTGTATTTGAAGCATCAACCCACTCCAGTAGAAATTCGGAATACTGACATATTCCCAACTTGTTTTCTTGGAAAGGTTTCTCTCCATCACACACACACACACACACACACATACATATATATATATATATATATATATATATATTATTTCCCATACCCTATCTTCTTTCTGGGCGAGTCCGCCACGTACTAAACTTTCGATTTCTTCCGTTTTGTCTATATTTCTCAGATGAGGTATTATGTACACTATTTACATTATTCGGACTATTGTCCTCATCTTTGTCGCCATATTTATTACAACGTTTCGGCCGTTGTACGCTCCAGGCTTCTTCAGGTTTTTCTGTTGAAGGCCGGAGCGTACAACGTTGTAATAAATATGGCGACAAAGATGAGGACAATAGTTCGAATAATGTAAATAGTGTTCTTTCGTTTTGTGCCAAACTCTAGTTTTTCCGAACGTTTCCTATTTCTGGTAATGGGGAGTTATGAGATTCTATATATTTGTTTAACCCTGTCGAAAAATCAGCATAAACACGAATTTTTTCCTTTACATACACTGCTGTTGCTCATTTTGAATAGTCAGTCTTTTCAATTATACCGATTTTTTCAAGCCTGTCTAATTCTTCGTTGACTTGATCCAATACTGCGAACGGTACACTACGTTTTAGTTTAAACACTGGCGTCGAATCTTTTTTTTTTTTTTTTTTTTACTTGAAATTTCGTTTTGACTTTGGAACACTGGCCCAACTCATCTGACAGAACATCCTGAAAACATCTTGTCAATTCTTCCTTTAAATTTTCACATTTTTCTTTTTTTAAACTGGTCGCTTGTCTACTTACATTTTTGCAATAATTATTTATAGGTAAATCCCACAAAACAAATAATTCCATCCAGTTAATACCGAATAAGTTTGTAGTATTTTTTATTACATGAGCCTTAGCTTTTACACACTTGTTACGAAATGAAGCGTGACACATCATTTCACCAATAAAAAATAATTTCTTACTCGGCATGTGCGATTTTCAAAGTATTTTTAATATTGGTTTTCCGTTTGCTTTCCATATGCCTTCGTTGATTACTGTAATATTACTACCACTGTCTAGTTGCATTTTTACATCCACATTAATTTTCACATACTCAGATTTTCTTTGATTTTCTGGAATTATTTTTGTCGCAATGCTGTGAACGATTTTTTTCCGTACGGATTTTTTTCTTGCTATAGTTTTACAATGGAGCATTTTGTCCTACTTTTCAACACTTGTAGCACTTTGAATTCTTAAAAAGACAGTTGTTTCTTTCCACACCTGAATATGGTTTAGTTTTTCTTTTTCCACATTTTTCTTTAGCTTAAATGTATGCGCATTGTCCGTCTCTCTCTCTGTCCTTCTCTCTCTCTCCATCTCTCTCTATATCTCTCTCTCTCTCTCTCTCTATATATATATATATATATATATATATATGTCCCTCTCTCTCTCTCTGTCTATCCATTTATACCACTCGAGAATTCACTGTCTGTTTTATTGTCTACCTCTCTCTTTCTCTCTCTCTTCATGCCCGCGTATCTAGATTTTCCACTCTCTAGATTTCTCTGTCTCTCTTTCTAGATTTCTCTGTCTCTCTCTCTGTGTCTCTCTCCCTCTCTCTCTCTCTTTCGCTGTCTCTCCGTCTCTGTCTCTCCGTCTCTCTTTCGCTGTCTCTCCGTCTCTCTTTCGCTGTCTCTCCGTCTCTCTTTCGCT